TTACATTTAAAATATCTCCACTTAAATGTGCTACATATGTTAGTGCTGGGATTTTTTTTTCCAAGGTCTGAAAAGTTCCTTCATAAATATCTTTGCAAATTTTTGCATGGAAATGGCGTTTAGAACCACCATACTCACTCAAGAATTCATTTTCTGTTGAGCTGCAGTATAAAATCATGGAAATCTATCTTGAATGGATAGCATTTGAACATTGTCCCTAAAGCACATACACTATTTATTCTCTCCTTTGTAGTGTTCAGGGCCTGTGGTTTTGGAACCAAGTAACAGGACTTGCTGTATCTTATCCTGCCTTATTTGTTGCAGACCACATTTTGTATGCAAGGAAACAACAGACAAAATAGCCTCCAAAGAAAGGAAGAATGAGATAGTTTCCTAAGTTGTCTTTGCCTGAGTTGGCAGCTGCTCTGGTTCATTCAGCTTTTTGTTCCCCAGTGAGTGCTGTGCGTGTGTAGTAACAATGGGGTGATGCAGTTACACTGTAGGCTAATAGCGGAGTTCCGTCAAATCCATTCATAAATGCAGAGGAGGGTGCAGTGCTGTGAGAGCCAGCCAGCGCGCAGAGGAAGTGAGGCCCCCGAATAATGAGCTCCACATCACAAACATAGCTGTCAGAGCTCAGGGGCTGGTGATAGACTGCGATCATCTGGTTGGAGCCTTGCCCCAACCTACGCTGCTGCAGATGTGTGACCTGCTCAAGTTGACAGGGGAAGCTGATAGCAGCCGGCAGATTCCTTTCCGTATGTCCTCTGCTCTGATGCAGCTTTCTGTAAGGCAGGCAGATTATTACAGCTTTCTCCAGAAATTCCATTTTTTTTAATAAGTGGTCACAACATTTAGTGCAGCAGCGTAAAAACTAAATTCACAGCTCTCATCTGACAGTTGCAGAGTATTCTTCTGCATGTTGGAGAGGGATTATCAACTAGAAATCGCAAGTCACATTAAGCAAGGAGTATAAATTCAAGCATGGCATCTGCCCCTGGATCACCCTGCCAGTGTTTTGGCTTTACTCTCACTTTTTCCAGTTCTGAAAACATTGTTCTCTTCTGTTGCTATGAGAAATACCACAGGAGCAACAGGAAACCAGCGAACTGGCTGTTTAAGCAAACAGTGGAACTGAATCTAGAAAGTATACTGTTGAAAGTGCTGAAAAGACTGAAAAATTGCAGAGAAAAGTGTGCCATCTTTCAGATGCTTAATGCTAGCTATGCTATATATTACATTATTACAATAACGTAACAATAGTGAGTGAAGACATTCTGGCATGGATATGAATTTTTTTTTCAAGTAAGATGTCCTCATTAGTCTGCATGAAATGCTCTTTGGAACAGCAAATTACTATTCTCTGTACTTTGTAGATGGAAAAACAGAGACATAGAAGCTTATCTGTAATTGATGCTATTTGTTACAGTAGCAAAAATAGGCACATTTAGGAGGGAAAATATGTCTGTTTTTAAACTGCATCCATTAGATGTGAGATCACTGAGATACAATAAATGTAGTAAATGGGCATAATATTCCTGCAGCTGCTTTTCAGGCTCTTGTTTGGGAGAATGTCAGAGAGCTAAAGGACAGTGTTCTGCAAACGAAGGCTCTAGTTTGGGAAGGAATCCCTGTTTATGTCAACAATGAAGCATGTGCTTTGGAGAGGTTTGAATTGAAGCCTAAATGTGAACCAGCAGAGGAATCCAGCCCTCTTTTGTATCTAGGAATACGGATGACATGTTTCATGCTGGAATTAATGTAAATCCCAACTTTTCAATGCATGTCTAACTGCTGCTTTCTTAGGTTATCCAAGCAATGATTTCATGACAAGCGAACAGTGTTGTCACTTAAAACATCTCCAGCATCCTTTCCATTTATCATACCAAGTCTTGTACCTAAAAACAGTCCTTTTCTGGTTTCCTTTTTGCAATTAGTTTTAAGAAAGAGGAAGAGATCTTTAAAGCAGTCATCAGGGGTGTTAACAGTTATTTGTGAAGTTGTTAAGTTGTTAATCTATATGTAGAAAGCTTTAACACAAAAAAAAAAAAGGGTCAGAAGAATTTTGCAGTGTTCTCAGCTTTGACAATTTCAGCATGCAGCAAAGCATTCAGGGTTTGTATCCAGGCTTCTAAATCTTGTCAGGAGATGCAAGAGGATAAAGAAGTACCCGGTGCAGCTACAGCTCAATATTTTGGATTATTTGTGTGCATATGTTACATATATATTTATATATAACAACAGCCCTACTGTTACTCTTCTGCTGTTGGTTTTAAGAGAGTAGGGCTGCTGTTCAGTTTTCTGAAGTCCTTGAGAAATGATGTGCGCCATGATTTAGTGTGATTGCCCTCAGCCTTGTCATTGCAAAGGATTTAATGAATCTCCCTTGCCATTGACCTAAGCTTGGCACAACTTGGACTGTAGTAGCAATGGCTGGCGTGTTGGTCACTGTCAATTGGAACTGTGTTTTCACTGGAGCTGCCAAGCTGTGCTTTTGACAGCTAGATGTCCATACTTCCCTGGTAGGAATCTGAGATAGGGCATCGCTTCTCCTCAGTCATTTCCCACTCGTCTATCAAAGGTATTTAACTGAATTGGGCTTCTGTTGGTGCTGGCCTTACTCTTGGACTTCATGGTAAAGCTAAGATCATGTCAAGAGTTAGGTAATATTTAAATTTAGCAGAATTGAAATGGAATGTCGTTAGAATAATAATTTTGCAGTCTGGGTTCTTCTTAAAACGATGTTGTAACACATCTTCTCTATACATTGGTATTTCCATATGAACGCCATCTTGGATAAGCAAAACAGTTTATGCACACCAAAGTGTTTCCCAAAATTTCATTGATAAAACAATTAAACCAACATTAGGAGTCTTGCCAGAGTAAGGCTAAAACTGCAGTGCAAAAGGGAAATCTGAGAATCACAATATACAATATATTGTGTCTTAAAGCACTGTGGAAAAGACAGGAGATAAGTTCATCACCAGAGCTTACTTCTGCAAGGCATGCCTTCCTGCCTGCCGGAGTCAATGAAGAGCAAGTCTGAGAGAAACTCTGGTGTTTGCTGACACAGGGAGCTCAAGTCTTGGCAAAACTGGGTGTTACATGACCAGAATGAATCCAGGGATACATTATCATTTCTCAGCCCTGCCTGGCTGCAAAATGAGTCTAGTGGTTTAAATATGTTTTAGAGTGGTCGTTATCATTGGAGTAAGTGCAGTGATAGACAACCACAGTTGCCTTACAGTCACAGAAGCTCTGGATTGATTCAACATGGAGAAAAGGTAGAAAAGATGTATGAATAAAATAAATTACCTTATTATGCTAATGGTCCACTATTGGCATTTGAAAGAGTGGTGTTTTCCTTTGTGGAGAACGTGGTAGACTGCTACACTGAGGGATCTGGTGCAGAGACCACTATCATCCAAAAAGTACAATCTATCAACTTCAGTTTGGACATGGTGCCATGGACGATTTGAAAATGTCTATATAATGTCTATGGCAGAAATCCAAGTTAAGGTACTAGAACAAGTACAAAGCCCTTCAAAGTCCCCTGTTCTCTCTCCCCCACCCCCCACCCCTTATTAAAAAACAAAAAAATATCAGTCTGGTCATGGCCTTGCAAGATGGAAAAGATGCCTTGCGCCTCTTTAACTCAGTGAAGTTAGGTGGAATGGGTACCCCATGTGAACAGGTTGTTTGGGTCATGATGCCATGATTCTGGAGATTGGAGCAGTCAGGACTGAGAATCCCACTGATTATGAGTGTAAAGTGAGAGGGAGCCTGTTTGCTGGGTCAACTTGAGTGGGATTCCTCAATGATAGCTTGCTAATTGCAATCATTTTCATAATAACATTATAAACATTAGTTTAAAACTGGAAGCTGGGGGACAATTTAGGTCACATAAATAAATGATGTGTTGAAAAGTTCAAGAAAATGAATTGTGTATAATATTCTGCATGATCTTTCCTACTGCTTATGCTTTCTTTCAAGACTGTCATGCATGGAAATGGAAATTTTCAGTTATTCGTTTGAATAACTAGATCCTGCCATAGTGCTGATGACCCCTCCTTCCAATCATTTTCACTACTAGTGTTTCTATCAGAGCCATGAAGTTACTCTTCATCACACACAGGAAAGCACTTATGTTCTTTCAAATGCTTCTCAGGTGTGCTTGTAAAACCAGCTAGATTTCAAAAATTCTCCACCCCACTCTACAAAAACAATAACAACAAATACAAAAAGCAAGTACAAAAGTTAATTGCTTTTTTACTTCTGCACATGCTGAAGTAAAAATAAAACTATGGAGTGGAAAGTACCTGAACTATTTTCATCATTAAAACTACTAGACCATAAAGAAGAATGAGGAAGTTGATCCATGTGACACACTTAAAAAACAAAAACAGTCCTACAGTATTCTGAAGGATTGGCCCAATCCCTATGTCGCAAAATCTAGGGCCATTACTTCAGTCATTATGCTGTCTTTCAAGGAAGATCTGCTGAAAATAGTGAATTTCATACTTTTTTTCTTTGATAGATTTTTAAAGCTTGAATTTTCTCTTATCAGTACTGTCTAGAGTTTGAAAAACGAAAGTCCTCTAGTAAAATGTGTACATGTGCAGCAAATTCACATGAAACTTCAAGGAGTTAATAACACTGTCTCATGGGAAGGCCCAGTTGTTTTCCAGGATATTTTTTTTTCCTTTTTTTGTATTGTATCACTTATTATTGAATTGCCAGGAAGTTCCACTGAGGCAAGCAGAAGCAGTAGCCCCATCTATAAAATAAACCACCTTCTATAACACACTGCAGTAGTTGGGTGATAAGATACTCATAATAAACCCATCTTTTCCTCTCACCTGTAACATTACCATCCATTGGGTATACTTCATGGTGGTTACAGCTAGTTGCACACTGAGGCTGTGGTTCAAGTGCAAAATGTGGTTTTAGGATTTGCTGTGTAAGAATTCAAGCCGTTTGCTCACATCATTGGCCATGTGTAAACTTTGTCTGCTAACTCCAGTTTATTAAAAAAAATAACAAAAAACATTGACAGGTTTAGTTAGTAACTCATCTGACAAAAAGCATGTAGCTCAAATGTGTCCACGCCGCTCTGACTGTGTTGTGTCAGGTTTCATCTATTGTCCTGCAGATAGCATGTTGAAAAGACATCATGTGGTCTGAATACCTTGGCAGAAGTGGTCTTAGGAGCCTGTGCATGATGTTCACAGAATCATCGCGATTGGCAGATGAAATAGTACGCAGATCCAGGACTAATGGTTGCACAGCCACAGTCTCAGGTGGATGATTTGGTTGTATCTCAGTCATCAGTACTGAAGAATCTGGACTAAATCTACTGGTATGTTCCAGCTCATTTTGCTGCATGACTGAGATTCACTCATGAATCTGGTATTGAGGTTTTTCTTCTTACTAGATTTTGACTGCAGATCTTGACAACCTGCAAAATAAGGTGACACCATTTTAAGTTAATGCTGGCCAGCCAATTTCAGCTTATGGATGGATGCTTTATAGGTGAGACTAAAAAGAATATTTAACTCAGATTAATAAAAACAGAGTTCTAGCATGCAAATAGCAACCTTTATATATATATATATATATATATATATATTTGGAAGCTATTTCACACTAAATGCAACATGCTTGTCATCTTTCCATAGTTTTCTTTGTTTTAAGGACTCCTGTGGTACATGATTTTATGTTCAAAACATAAGTGTAGACCCGACCTAACATGTGACAATAAATACATCAGTGGCTTGTGGATCCCTGTGTAAGGTAAAATTCATGTAAACTGTGGCAATTTCAGTCTGGACTGCTTTATTGGTTTTATGTACAAAATGAAGACATCAGAAATGGCCATTTTTTGTATAAAATTGCTAAGAGATTTTAGCCTCTTCATAAATTAAATGAAGCATTATGTTGACCATTACAAGTTTTTACAATTACAGTGTAAATTATCATGTGTAAGGAGCATATATATATATATGTATATATAAACAGGCAAAGCAGGCTCCAAATGCTCAGGCCTTATGTTCCATGTGTCACCACCCTTCCTTCCCCAAGCCTGGCTGTAAGGAAATTGCCTCATTAAGCTCTCTAGTCAGTAGCTGCTTGTAAAAAATCTGGCTTATTTTCAAAAGGCTGTGTTATTTTGAAATTTTGCACCACTGTGCTTTAAGAGATTCTTATACAAAAAGAGCATTATGACTACAATCTGTTACAATAGTCTACAAATTGGTGGCTCTGCTCTTTTTTCCATTTACGGCTCTGATCCTGCTCAATTTGGCCATCAACTTAAACGGGAACAGGTTCTGGATCTCCTCCAGGGAGACTTGCTGCAGCTGGAAGTGGCAGCCCATGGGCTGTAACACTCCAGGACTCCCCCACCAAGGGGACTCGTCTGTAGCAGCTGGGATTGGGTTGTGCTATCTCTGTGGCTGAACCTCTGCTTTCTGAGAAGGGTAGCTCCCAAACCAGGGTCACAGAGTGAGAATCACTATCAAGTGGAGCTGCACAAAACCATGTCTGATCATGTGCAAGGTGCCTTTGGCAAGTATGTTGCAGAAAAAAAAGCAGTGTAGGTAGGGGTGCTTTGCTGAACAGAGCAGAGTCGGTCTGAAAACATTGATTAGGTCTCTTGCATTTTCTCAGAATCTGTTCAGGAAATCTCAGCACCTGTTCCTACAAGCAAGAAGCAGTTTCTACAAGCAAGCGGCGGTTTCAGTCACACACACATAACTGCCTGCCAGTGTAACTGCATCAGCTTTGTACCCTTGAAATGACTTGCTGCTATTGCCATCTCACAAAGAAGTGAATGATTACAATGGACCTGAAACCCACCCAAGCTAATAGTGGGGGATTTTCTTTATCGGAGTTTCTGATAGCTTTTGGCAGTCAGGTATTTCGGAAGAAAGGACAAGGAATTTGTCCAACTCCCATCATTAAACAATCAGTTCCAGTACTAGGAAATCACTAAGTCCCCAATAATAAAAGAGCAATACCCAGCTATAAACAACATTTACCTGATTAAATAAAAGTACACATTCTTACCTTAAAACAACTAGATAGATTTGCCAGCAGCAGGAAAGTGGAAACAGAGGGAAGCCTTTCTCCTTACCTTCTGTTAAAGTGACAGGAAAGGAAGAACCCTATGAGGTGAGGCATGCTAAAATCTTGCTTGTTTGTTATGAATCTTATTCATCACCAGAAAAATCCACTGTGCTCACATTTTATTGCATCTTCAAACACATTTGTCTTGTCCTCTCACTTCTGAGGCTTCCTGCTCAGCTCCAAGCAAGCTAGATATTAAAGCTTCCCTTCTCTACAGGAGTGGGAGTCCAGCAGACTGCAGTTCCCTGCCTTCTGGTGGGAGCCAAGCACAGATGTGAGTGTGAGCAGAGACAGGCTGCCTAGTGTCCTGCCTGCCAGACAGCTTTGGGAGGTCGGATTTTAGGCGTACCCTCCTCAGTCCTACTCAGTCTGTAATTAAGCAGATTCATGAAACATGTGTTTGGTAACTGCGTGTTTTTTTGATTAACCTCCTGCTGACACGGTTGCCACATGAGGAGTTTTGCAACGTGGAGTGCTGGGAAAGGCAGCAGGCGCTGGTGTGGGACAGAGACAGTGTGCAGCGGGAACCCGTACGGCAAGCCCAAATCCAGTCCACCCAGGGCTGGCACTGGAACAAGCTGATGTCCTGTCTCCAGAAAGTGGGAAGCAGTGATCAGGAGACTGCCAGTGTGGTGAAGGCACACAGAGACTAGCATTTTTTAATATAGCTTTCTAGCCTGGGTGCTGCTGTTTCTCTTGAGTTCTCATTTCCATAGTACCCTGAAAACCCCTGCATCTCTCTGAATTTACTTGGCATTTCAGGTACTCCATGATTCTCAGTCCCACAGTTATCTACTGGGTGGCAATGACACTAATTATGCATTGGCTGTGGTAGGCAGTGGTTGTGCCCATGTGATACCTGTGATAACTCTTCCAGCTGCATCATTCTTGCCCAGAGCGTTGGGATGAACTGCCGGAGTAATAAAAATCGGGGCATGACCCTGAGCAAACTCTGCTCTCTCCAGAACAGGAGAGAGGCATAACTTCTGCCTTCTTCCAAAGCATAGACCTTTTCAGTCTTAAGGTCTTCAAATGAAGTTCATCATACTTGCCAACATCTGTATTAGAGTAGCAAGACTTTTGAGACTTTGCTCCCAGCTTCCTTCTTGTGCTGTCCAGAGCTAAAACTAAGCAGGTGCTATGAGAAGGGGGCTCCCATCTGCTTACAGAGGGAAACTGCACCTTCATTAACTGGCAGATGAAATTGCTGAGCCACAGTCCATCATATTTGAGAAGTCATGGCAGTCCAGTGAAGTTCGCACTGACTGGAAAAGGGGAACCATAAACCCCATTTTTAAAAAGGATAAAAAAGGAAGACCTGATGAATTACAGACCAGTCAGTCTCACCTCTGTGCCTGGCAAGATCATGGAGCAGGACCTCTTGGAAACTATGCTAAGGCATATAGAAAATAAGGAGGTAATTGGTGACAGCCACCATGGTTTCACTAAGGGCAGATTGTGCCTGACAAATCTGGTGGCCTCCTACAATCTGGTTACAGCACCGGTGGAAGACCAGCTGAGATCAGCTACCTGGACTTGTGCAAAGCATTTGACACTGTCCCACAGGCATCGTTGTCTCTAAATTGGAGAGATGGATTTGATGGATGGACCATGTGGTGGGTAAGGAATTGGATGGATACTCACACTCAGAGAGTTGCGGTCAACGTCTCAATGTCCAAATGGAGATCAGTGATGAGTGGCATTCCACAGGGGCTGGAACTGGGACCAGCACTGCTTAACAGCTTGGTTGGTGACGTGGTATTGAGTGCACCCTCAGCAAGGTTGCCGATGACACCAAGCTGTGTGGCGCAGTCAGCACACTGGAGGGAAGGGGTGCTATCCAGAGGGACCTAACAGGCTTGAGAGGTGGGCCTGTGCGAAACTCATGAGGTTCAACAAAGCCAAGTACAAGATCCTACAGCTGGGTCGGGGAGATCCCAAGCACAAATACAGGCTGGATACAGAATGGATTCAGAGCAGCTCTGAGGAGAAGGACCTGAGGTGATGGTTGACAGGAAGCTCAGCATGAGCTGGAAAGGTAAGCTGGCAGCCCAGAAAGCCAACCGTATCCTGGGCTGCATCAAAAGAAGTGTAGCTGGCAGGCTGAGGGAGGTGATTCTCCCCTCTGCACTGCTCTTATGATACCCCACCTGGAGAACTGCGTTCAGCTCTGGGGCCCCCAGCACAAGAAGGACGTGGACCTATTAGAGTGAGTCCAGAGGAGGGCCTTGAAGATGATCAAAAGGCTGGAGCACCTCTCCTCTGAAGACAGGTTGAGGGAGTTGGGATTGTTCAGTCTGGAGAAGAGAAGAATCCAGGAAGAGCTTTTAGTGTTTTTTTCAGTATCTAAAGGGGGGCCTACATGGAAGATGGAAAGGGAGTCTTTGTCAGGGCCTGTAGTGATAGCACAAGGGGTGCTTCACAGAGGGTGAAGCATGGAAAAGTTCAGCTCCAGTGACTGAAACTCAGGAAAGTTGCTAGCTTATTGTGGAGGTTTTTTTGTTTGTTTGTTTTGTTGGTTTTTTTGGGGGGGAGGCGTAGATACAGTACAGCTGCAAACCAGTGAACTTGACTACTAGTCAAGTTTTTCTTGAGCAGCCTTATAGTTCCCTGCTTTCAAACCCAAAGACAAGGATGGGGAAGACACAGTCTGCCCCCACACATACACTGTGTAGCAGTTTTTTAGTATCATGCTGTTTCACCGTGGTGTTACTCACTGTGATAATTCTTGCTGAGGGAACAAATTTTGGGGTCTGACTACACACAGGTAATTCAGATACTTACATTTCAATTACATCTCTTTCTAGCTGGGCAGTGTTGGTTTTAGCTCATGTGATCCACGTCATTGAATATTTCTGTCTTTAATACAGCCAGCGTCCCATCCAACCCCTTTTTCCTGTTCAGTTTGAAAAGCCATCTTTCACAGCCTGTCTTTGGCAGATGCATCTTCAGACAAAGGTTATGATACTCCATTATAGGATGGCTTCATGACAAAGAGAGTACATGACTTTACAGCTAGCAGTTGCTGACCAGTAGGCAAGAAAATGGGTGTTTATGACACCCATTTACACCAGAGCTAATTGCGTGCACTATGAATGTAAATATCAGAGGAACAGATACTCTGCATTTGACATGTTTTCCCAGTCTGACCAGGATGACAAATTGAACCTACATACATGAATATGTCAAACTCTCCTTGAATAACCTGATACTGTGTGGAGAAAGTGAGTGTTGTTGCTCGTCAGAGCCTTGCTCCCCAGAGGTGCACTCATGCTCTGTATTCAGTTCCTGGGCTGACACAAGCGCCTGTGTGACCTGTGGAGGTCAATGCCTATCTGTTTTTCAGCATCCCTTGCTAAAAATAACAACGTCTCTGGTCAGAATACTTAGAAAATCCATACTAGCCAAAACTGCATTTCTCTATTGCATGAAGTCTTTGGGAGAGACCCAGTCTTCAATGTGTCAGAGCTCTATAACATTCACATAAGGCTTCGGCGAGTTCGTAGTATTAGTACCTTTTTGAGTATTTTAGAAGGACTCTGCAAGACTGCTTTTAGGAAAAAAAAGCCTTTATAGTAGCACCACCTGCCCACATATGCAGTGTGGTGTTGATATTCAATCCCAGCATGCTACACATAAGTGGCATTGTGTTCATACAGTTATGGCTTTAGTTTTATTTTTTAGTTTCTGCTAAAACTAGGAGGTTGACAATCTTTTCTCAAATTTCTCTCTCTTTTTTTCACCCCCAGCAACCCCAATATTTGGCCTTCCAACATATTATCAATGTGGAACATCCTGTAATACTTCAGCAGTCTTGTTCTTTGTCATTGTGTCTGGTATTAGTGTGGTGAATTCTTCCCATTTCTTTATTCATATCTCGTGAATGTTGCAGGACTGATAACGTACAAGGCTCCCAAATCTGTTGCTGTACTATATCCTTTTTTCCCTAAGTGTTGTGTGCTGTAATTTGGAATGTAGTCATACCTGAGGCTTGGTTATGTACTTCTAACTTGCATCTTTTTATTGTATCTGTCTTTGCTTCAATGTCTTCTGTGAATGATTACCAATGACTATTCCTAAGGATGTTAAAATAGCCCAATTCCAAGAGTAAAGGTATGGGAGGGTACACTATACCTCCTCCTCCTGTGATGCTGAAATCACCTTTTTTCTCTGGAATGTGTTCAGAGGATAATAATGCTGGCAAATTTGTGGATGTATGTTTGGGGCTGGATTGTTAGTTCCCTCACCATGAACAAAGCCTTATTTCCCTTCAGAGTGCCCAGTTACTGTGCAGTGTGATTTGCTCTGGGATTAATGTTCGATTGCCTTTTTCGGAGACTTAGCACAGAGATGGTTCTTTCTTGCTTCTTCAACAAAGACTCTTTAAAGAAAAATAGCAAAATGGCATGAATTGATGACCTGTGCCGCGCCATGTTGGGATATATTTGGAAGCAGTACAGTTTAACTCTGTGATGTTTCTGTTATTCTGGACCTTTTCTTCATGCTTAAATTTTCACAGATACACAGACCTTTCTTTTGCTTTTGGCTTCGGATACATGACTGATACAGACACTGTGACAAGGAACTGCACTTTTGGGGGGACCTCAAAACTCCTGCTTGATTTTAATGTGTTAAACTTGCTTGATGGTAGAAGTGATGTGCCTCTGTCTGCATTACATTGGTATAGTGCATGTGGTTATTTCAGAATAAAAACACTTTTCTTTTTCAGTGAAGACCCAGCCAAGTCATTTAACCTTGCATAGAAGAATGCACAAATTCATTTACCCTGCCCTTTGTTTTTCACAAGAGTGCTGAGGAGTGCTTTGAGTTCTTGCTCAAGACAGCACAAATGAGCAAGGACAGGTAAAATATTTAAATTTGGAAATTATAATAAATGTGGAATTATTATTTAACCCAAGAGTTCGTAAACATTGATAATTTTTGAGAATTCAAGGTTATTTTCTGTCACAGCGGATGTTCCTTAGCAATACCCATTTGCTGATTTTCAAACTTTTACTAGCTCAGTAAGGAAAAAAGTAACTAACAGATCAATTTGCTTTTTATCCTTTAGGACTGCCTTAAAGCTTGTCAAGAACAGATTGAGTCGGTGCTAGTAAGCAACCTTAGGCAAGTCCGGCAGCAGCAACAGCAAAGCAATCCTTCTAAGACGGTGGATGAACTGGACCAGGCCAGCACTCCCACAGATGTGAGAGATATCAACCTGTGAGGACATCAGCACAGAAAGTCATGCTTGCTCCCCCAGCCCTTTTATTTTTGTTATTATTTTTAGAGTGAAATCTTTTTTTTTTTTTTTTTAATCTGCTCC